TTTAGTGGAGTGTATTTTCTCATAGAATACACCGTGTATTAGTTAACCAAAAACTTAGAAGGTTCTCGATTACTTTATATGCAAATGGTCATGGTATTTCATAATTGCAGATGGGTGGTATGATATCATATGTTTCTGTTTCTTTGACACTTATGAGAAAGAATAGCTTAAATACCACGCCAACAACGATTCTATGAAATAGATTTTCTATTACGGCATTAATGTACCTTCCTTTGTCGGACTATTTGGGGGTCGGACCAATGGGGTGTCGGACTATTGGGGTGTCGGACTAACGGGGACGTCTTTACACTAGATTTGTTGGAGGTCGGACTAATGGGGACGTCTTTACACTAGATTTGTTGGAGGTCGGACTAATGGGGACGTCTTTACACTAGATTTGTTTGAGGTGTACTAATGGGGACGTCTTTACACTAGATTTGTTGGAGGTGTACTAATGGGGACGTGTTTACACTAGATTTGTTGGAGGTGTACTAATGGGGACGTCTTTACACTAGATTTGTTGGAGGTCGGACTAATGGGGACGTCTTTACACTAGATTTGTTGGAGGTGTTATAATGGGGTCGTCTTTACACTAGATTTGTTTGAGGTGTACTAATGGGGACGTCTTTACACTAGATTTGTTAGAGGTCGGACTAATGGGGACGTCTTTACACTAGATTTGTTGGAGGTCGGATTAATGGGGACGTCTTTACACTAGATTTGTTGGAGGTGTACTAATGGGGTCGTCTTTACACTAGATTTGTTTGAGGTGTACTAATGGGGACGTCTTTACACTAGATTTGTTTGAGGTGTACTAATGGGGACGTGTTTACACTAGATTTGTTGGAGGTGTACTAATGGGGACGTCTTTACACTAGATTTGTTGGAGGTCGGACTAATGGGGACGTCTTTACACTAGATTTGTTGGAGGTGTACTAATGGGGTCGTCTTTACACTAGATTTGTTTGAGGTGTACTAATGGGGACGTCTTTACACTAGATTTGTTGGAGGTCGGACTAATGGGGAGGTCTTTACACTAGATTTGTTTGAGGTGTACTAATGGGGACGTCTTTACACTAGATTTGTTGGAGGTGTACTAATGGGGTCGTCTTTACACTAGATTTGTTTGAGGTGTACTAATGGGGTCGTCTTTACACTAGATTTGTTTGAGGTGTACTAATGGGGACGTCTTTACACTAGATTTGTTGGAGGTCGGACTAATGGGGACGTCTTTACACTAGATTTGTTGGAGGTGTACTAATGGGGACGTCTTTACACTAGATTTGTTGGAGGTCGGACTAATGGGGACGTCTTTACACTAGATTTGTTGGAGGTGTACTAATGGGGTCGTCTTTACACTAGATTTGTTGGAGGTGTACTAATGGGGACGTCTTTACACTAGATTTGTTTGAGGTGTACTAATGGGGACGTCTTTACACTAGATTTGTTGGAGGTGTACTAATGGGGTCGTCTTTACACTAGATTTGTTGGAGGTGTACTAATGGGGACGTCTTTACACTAGATTTGTTGGAGGTGTACTAATGGGGACGTCCTCACACTAGATCTGTTGGAGGTCGGACTAATGGGGACGTCTTTACACTAGATTTGTTGGAGGTCGGACTAATGGGGGCGTCTTTACACTAGATTTGTTGGAGGTGTACTAATGGGGTCGTCTTTACACTAGATTTGTTTGATGTGTACTAATGGGGACGTCTTTACACTAGATTTGTTGGAGGTCGGACTAATGGGGACGTCTTTACACTAGATTTGTTGGAGGTCGGACTAATGGGGACGTCTTTACACTAGATTTGTTTGAGGTGTACTAATGGGGACGTCTTTACACTAGATTTGTTTGAGGTGTACTAATGGGGACGTCTTTACACTAGATTTGTTGGAGGTGTACTAATGGGGACGTCTTTACACTAGATTTGTTGGAGGTGTACTAATGGGGTCGTCTTTACACTTGATTTGTTTGAGGTGTACTAATGGGGACGTCTTTACACTAGATTTGTTGGAGGTCAGACTATACGGGACGTCTTTACACTAGATTTGTTGGAGGTCGGACTAATGGGGACGTCCTCACACTAGATTTGTTGGAGGTGTACTAATGGGGACGTCCTCACACTAGATCTGTTGGAGGACGGACTAATGGGGATGTCCTCACACTAGATCTGTTGGAGGTCGGACTAATGGGGACGTCTTTACACTAGATTTGTTGGAGGTGTACTAATTGATTCTTAAGTCTGGGAGATCGTGATTTACATGTTTTTATTAGTAGCAATTTGCTTTGAACTAGGTTTCTTTAACTGCAAGTAATCTTAAATCTGTACTTTTTTTTATTTAATGTTTGTTGTGATTTGCACCACTCTGTTGAGTTATATGAGGTGCGGATTTAGTCAAAATTATTGTATTCAAAGAATATTAAAATATTTCAGGACCTCCATTATTCATATTCGGTCAGGATATCCATTAATCATTAAGGACCTGAAATATTTAAGGACCTCCATAATTCGATTTCAAGATATCCTGAAATATTTCTGGACCTTAATAATTTGATTTAAGGTCTTGAAAAATAAGTATCTGATTATGGAGGTCTAGAAACTGAATTATTGAGGTTTTCTCGTTCAATCATTTTCATTAATTGTTCTGTCATAATTCTGGCCATTTCATTTCTCATTGAGTGGATTCCCATTTTGTCAATTGTCATGTCAAAGACTTTTATAGCTGAAAATTTTTATATGGGTTTTATTAATTGTTGAAGGTTGTATGGTGACTTATAGTTACATCATTGTCATTTGTACTCTTATCGTACTACATCCCGTTATTTTCATATTCATACATGTTTTTCTATCAAATTGGAGTTTAAAAAATGTTAACACCAGTATCGTCCAACAAGCAATACACAAGTATCCCCTACTGAAACTTTACTCATAGACTGCCAAAATATTTGAGCTGCACAAATGAACTAAATGCATTCTGAATAAAGCTATTAACATGTAGTATTTATCTAGCTTTCAGTAAGTCACCAGCTGAAGGAGCAGAACACACATTAAATGCAGCAATCAATCCTGCTTTGAAAGGTGTCCGAGATGTTTACTTTCAAGAATGCAAACCAAAGAATACCAATGCTGTTGCAAGGTTTGTTTTTAGCATATCATTAGCTACTTTTATACAGATTAGGTGGATTTTGCTCGTTCCATCAACCCACTGTGGGTAGTCCTCTCAAATTTATCATAAGATTCAGTAAGCCTGCTTAATTAGTCCCATAGGGGACTATAAAAGAGAGGCGAAAGATACCAAAGGGAAAATCAAACTCATAAGTAGAAAATAAACTGACAACGGCATAGCTAAAAAAAAAAGAAAGAAAAAGACAAACAGACAAATAAACAGTACACAAAACACAACATAGAAAACTAAAGACTGAGCAACACAAACTCCACCAAAAACTAGTGGTGATAAGTTTGTATACATGGGGGTCATGTGAACGAATATAAGTTTGCACTAAGTAGGAAAAATTTTTCCCTTTTTTTAAGTAATTTTTCAGTCTATTGATTAGATAGTTGGTATGTAGTCATATCATAAAACAAACCTTTTTTGGAGAATGATTTTTGAGGAAGTTGTGGCCCTTGGATATCATACAAAAAATTCTTGAAAATACCAGATTTCCACATTTTTTTTCTGTAATACCTTAATCAGTTGATTACATATTTGGTGTCGAGTCTCATCACAAGAAATTTGATTTTGAGGCCCATGGACATAGGAAATAACTTGAAAATATTGGTTCTTCACTTTTTTCTCCAGAGTCTGAATAAATTAACAAAATGTATGGTATATAGTCCTGTAAGAAGTTAGAGGTTTGTATTTCTTTCCCGATAGTTAATTTTGTAGGACTTGTGGTGTTTGGACATATAAAACTGCTTTGAAAACAGTGTCAGTTTAAGAGAAATAAAAACCTTGGTGCCTCAAGGGTTGAGTTGGTCCTGCAGTTGTTTATACAATATCCACATCTTCCAAAAAATATTCTGACACAATTAAACATTAGAACATTAGATGGAAATCTACAACTTCATCAGTAACAAACTCAATGCTTATCCAATATAAGGGTCAACTCATCCAATGTAAATCTTACAGCCAATAGGGGACATTGTATTGCATATGTAATACACTAATACTCTCAGAATGCTTGTTGATTATAAGTGAATTATATGTTGACAGTATTTGAAATGGAGTTCTTACTACATGTATCAAGAACACTTAAGGTTGAATTAATCATTGAATAAAGAACATGAGGTCAGTAAAAAACTCATCATAGATACCAGGATTAAAATTTTGTATGCCAGATGCGCTTCAGTGACTCCTGTCAAACATACATATATCTTGCAACGATTCTTTACTTGACATGTCATTTATCTATAATTACTCTTATGAACTGACTAACTAACCAAGCATAACAAGTTGAACTGTCAGCTTTGACTCACTACTGATACCCTGCTAACCAATAAACAGGAAGTTAATGAATGCTGAAATGTGACAACTTTTCACATGGTATAGTATGTTCACATGATGCTTGAATCCTAATTTCAGAAAGCCTTGATTTGTAGTTCCTGAGAAAAGGGCTATGAAAATTTTATACATGGGCATCATGTGATAGAATATATAAGTATTTGATTAACAGGAAGTTGATGAGTGATGAATCTAAGTGCATCATACAGTATAGCATGATTACATGAAGCAAAATTTTATCGGATGGATTTTAAACAAATTTACCCTGATTAATCGTTGTCTTGGCTTACTTTTTACCAAGAAAATGATGCATGAGATGAACATAGGATGGTGATAATAAATTGAAATTTAGTTTCTTTCAATTCAGTGTTATTTTTCATTTTTTTTTCTTCTTTTTTCAGAAACAAAGACATCCAAGAGTCAGTACTGGAATATTCATTATCATGTTTAAATGACTATATCACAGATGATATTAGAAATGAATGGAAGACAAAATAATCATTTTCTTAGTTTGATTTTCTCTCAGTTACAAAGCTAATAAAAACCTGATTTAAAAAAAAAAACAACAAATCTAGTCCATGATAATGAATGAGAGAGGTGTCTTTCAATTATATTTCTTTTCATGCCCATTACAATGTCCGTTTGTCTTTAATCCTTTTTGGACAGCGTATAGATATATGCTTTGATGAGCTTATTACAAATACCACACATTATTTGATCTTTATTTTAACAAGAATCACCAGGTGTGAATCTAAGATTTACAGGTGATAATGAACTAATTGGTGTGTGATCTGCTCCGTGGAATCTCTCTGTTGTTATGGAACCACAACTGTCATCCATTCTAATGTCTGATACAGTTTCCTTCTTGGATCTTAGGTCCTGTATATTACATAGAATAACTTTAGCTTCTTCTCTTGTCTGTTTCAAACATATAATACAAGTATTTTATAAAATTACAGGAAAATCAGATAGTAAATATGTAAGTGTTTTAATGTTTAATAAATGTGTTCATGACCATGAAACAGCAATGCAAGTTTATAAGAAATAGATTGATTGTCACTTGCCTTACATTCTTTGAAAAATAGAAAGACTGATTAAAATTATAACAATATTTTTGCTTGCAATGAGCAACATGAGGGGACTACCACTTGTTGAGCAGAAATACATGCCTTTCTGATCACCTGAGGTCATCCCCACTTAAAGTGGGGTTAGTGTTACTCAATCTTTAGTTTTCTGTGTAGTGGTATGTGGACTGTCTTTTCATCATTTTATTTTGGCCATGGTTTTATCTTGTTTTCTTTAACTTTTTCTATTGCCTTGGTATCTTCTCTTTAATTTTAAAGTTCAGCTACACTTGATTCAAAAGTTCAGAATTTAGCAGAAACTATTTGTGTTTGTTTACTACTGGACACTGAACAGATAAAAGTGACTATGTCCAAATTATCCAAATATGAAGAGAACACTTTATTTCATTGTCCTAAAATTTCAATGTATTATGTTAGTTTTCGAGTCAATGGGAACATTAACAAAATCATTAACAGTCATTGTACTGTCAGCTTCCTTTAAACCATTGACATTCACTCTAGTGTCAATGTCAATATAACACTTAACATTCATTGTGGTGTGAGGCTAAAACTACAGTCACTGTAGTATCAGGCTCAATCAAAACCCTAACAGTCACTGTAGTGCCAGGGTCAATCAAAACGGCAACAGTCACTGTAGTATCAGGCTCAATCAAAACGTTAACAGTCACTGTAGTGCCAGGCTCAACCAAAACGTTAACAGAGACTGTAGTGTCAGGCTCAATCAAAACGTTAACAATCACTGTAGTGTAAGGGTCAATCAAAACATTAACAGTCACTGGAGTGTCAGGGTCAATCAAAATGTTAACAGTGACTGTAGTGTCAGGCTCAATCAAAACATTTAGTCACTAGTGTCAGAGTCAATCTAAACGTTAACAGTCAATGTAGTGCCAGGGTCAATCAAAACATAAACAGTGACTGTAGTGTCAGGCTCAATCAAAACATAATCCGTCACTGTAGTGTCGTGGTCCATCAAAACATCAACATTGGATAGTGTCAGGGTCAATCAAAATGTTAACAGTGACTGTAGTGTCAGGTTCAATCAAAACATTTAGTCACTAGTGTCAGGGTCAATCTAAACGTTAACAGTCAATGTAGTGCCAGGGTCAATCAAAACGTAAACAGTGACTGTAGTGTCAGGCTCAATCAAAACATAATCCGTCACTGTAGTGTCGTGGGCCATCAAAACATCAACATTGGATAGTGTCAGGGTCAATCAAAATGTTAACAGTGACTGTAGTGTCAGGTTCAATCGAAACATTAACAGTCACTGTAGTGTCAGGCTCTATCACTATGCTAACAGTCACTGTCGTGCCAGGGTCAATCAAAACGTTAACAGTCATTGTGGTGTCGGGGTCAATTTAACAATTATGTCACTGTAGTGTCAGGCTCAATTTAACCCTTAAGTCACTGTGGTGTCAGGGTCAATCAAAACGTTAACATTCACTGTAGTGTCAGGCTAAATTAAAATGTTAACAGTCACTGTAGTGTCAGGGTCAATCAAAACAACAGTCACTGGAGTGTCAGGCTCAATTAAAATGTTAACAGTCACTGTAGTGTCAGGCTCAATCAAAACATTTAGTCACTAGTGTCAGGGTCAATCTAAACGTTAACAGTCAATGTAGTGCCAGGGTCAATCAAAACATAAACAGTGACTGCAGTGTCAGGCTCAATCAAAACATAATCCGTCACTGTAGTGTCGTGGTCCATCAAAACATCAACATTGGATAGTGTCAGGGTCAATCAAAATGTTAACAGTGACTGTAGTGTCAGGTTCAATCAAAACATTTAGTCACTAGTGTCAGGGTCAATCTAAACGTTAACAGTCAATGTAGTGCCAGGGTCAATCAAAACGTAAACAGTGACTGTAGTGTCAGGCTCAATCAAAACATAATCCGTCACTGTAGTGTCGTGGTCCATCAAAACATCAACATTGGATAGTGTCAGGGTCCCATTTGAGGTGTACTAATGGGGACGTCTTTACACTAGATTTGTTGGAGGTCGGACTAATGGGGAGGTCTTTACACTAGATTTGTTTGAGGTGTACTAATGGGGACGTCTTTACACTAGATTTGTTTCTTTATTTTAACAAGAATCACCAGGTGTGAATCTAAGATTTACAGGTGATAATGAACTAATTGGTGTGTGATCTGCTCCGTGGAATCTCTCTGTTGTTATGGAACCACAACTGTCATCCATTCTAATGTCTGATACAGTTTCCTTCTTGGATCTTAGGTCCTGTATATTACGTAGAATAACTTTAGCTTCTTCTCTTGTCTGTTTCAAACATATAATACAAGTATTTTATAAAATTACAGGAAAATCAGATAGTAAATATGTAAGTGTTTTAATGTTTAATAAATGTGTTCATGACCATGAAACAGCAATGCAAGTTTATAAGAAATAGATTGATTGTCACTTGCCTTACATTCTTTGAAAAATAGAAAGACTGATTAAAATTATAACAATATTTTTGCTTGCAATGAGCAACATGAGGGGACTACCACTTGTTGAGCAGAAATACATGCCTTTCTGATCACCTGAGGTCATCCCCACTTAAAGTGGGGTTAGTGTTACTCAATCTTTAGTTTTCTGTGTAGTGGTATGTGGACTGTCTTTTCATCATTTTATTTTGGCCATGGTTTTATCTTGTTTTCTTTAACTTTTTCTATTGCCTTGGTATCTTCTCTTTAATTTTAAAGTTCAGCTACACTTGATTCAAAAGTTCAGATTTAGCAGAAACTATTTGTGTTTGTTTACTACTGGACACTGAACAGATAAAAGTGACTATGTCCAAATTATCCAAATATGAAGAGAACACTTTATTTCATTGTCCTAAAATTTCAATGTATTATGTTAGTTTTCGAGTCAATGGGAACATTAACAAAATCATAAACAGTCATTGTACTGTCAGCTTCATTTAAACCATTGACATTCACTCTAGTGTCAATGTCAATTTAACACTTAACATTCATTGTGGTGTGAGGCTAAAACTACAGTCACTGTAGTATCAGGCTCAATCAAAACCCTAACAGTCACTGTAGTGCCAGGGTCAATCAAAACGGCAACAGTCACTGTAGTGTCAGGCTCAATCAAAACGTTAACAGTCACTGTAGTGCCAGGCTCAACCAAAACGTTAACAGAGACTGTAGTGTCAGGCTCAATCAAAAAGTTTACAATCACTGTAGTGTAAGGGTCAATCAAAACATTAACAGTCACTGGAGTGTCAGGGTCAATCAAAATGTTAACAGTGACTGTAGTGTCAGGCTCAATCAAAACATTTAGTCACTAGTGTCAGGGTCAATCTAAACGTTAACAGTCAATGTAGTACCAGGGTCAATCAAAACATAAACAGTGACTGTAGTGTCAGGCTCAATCAAAACATAATCCGTCACTGTAGTGTCGTGGTCCATCAAAACATCAACATTGGATAGTGTCAGGGTCAATCAAAATGTTAACAGTGACTGTAGTGTCAGGTTCAATCAAAACATTTAGTCACTAGTGTCAGGGTCAATCTAAACGTTAACAGTCAATGTAGTGCCAGGGTCAATCAAAACGTAAACAGTGACTGTAGTGTCAGGCTCAATCAAAACATAATCCGTCACTGTAGTGTCGTGGGCCATCAAAACATCAACATTGGATAGTGTCAGGGTCAATCAAAATGTTAACAGTGACTGTAGTGTCAGGTTCAATCGAAACATTAACAGTCACTGTAGTGTCAGGCTCTATCACTATGCTAACAGTCACTGTCGTGCCAGGGTCAATCAAAACGTTAACAGTCATTGTGGTGTCGGGGTCAATTTAACAATTAAGTCACTGTAGTGTCAGTCTCAATTTAACCCTTAAGTCACTGTGGTGTCAGGGTCAATCAAAACGTTAACATTCACTGTAGTGTCAGGCTAAATTAAAATGTTAACAGTCACTGTAGTGTCAGGGTCAATCAAAACAACAGTCACTGGAGTGTCAGGCTCAATTAAAATGTTAACAGTCACTGTAGTGTCAGGCTCAATCAAAACATTTAGTCACTAGTGTCAGGGTCAATCTAAACGTTAACAGTCAATGTAGTGCCAGGGTCAATCAAAACATAAACAGTGACTGCAGTGTCAGGCTCAATCAAAACATAATCCGTCACTGTAGTGTCGTGGTCCATCAAAACATCAACATTGGATAGTGTCAGGGTCAATCAAAATGTTAACAGTGACTGTAGTGTCAGGTTCAATCAAAACATTTAGTCACTAGTGTCAGGGTCAATCTAAACGTTAACAGTCAATGTAGTGCCAGGGTCAATCAAAACGTAAACAGTGACTGTAGTGTCAGGCTCAATCAAAACATAATCCGTCACTGTAGTGTCGTGGTCCATCAAAACATCAACATTGGATAGTGTCAGGGTCCCATTTGAGGTGTACTAATGGGGACGTCTTTACACTAGATTTGTTGGAGGTCGGACTAATGGGGAGGTCTTTACACTAGATTTGTTTGAGGTGTACTAATGGGGACGTCTTTACACTAGATTTGTTGGAGGTGTACTAATGGGGTCGTCTTTACACTTGATTTGTTTGAGGTGTACTAATGGGGACGTCTTTACACTAGACTTGTTGGAGGTCGGACTAATGGGGACGTCTTTACACTAGATTTGTTGGAGGTCGGACTAATGGGGACGTCCTCACACTAGATTTGTTGGAGGTGTACTAATGGGGACGTCCTCACACTAGATCTGTTGGAGGACGGACTAATGGGGATGTCCTCACACTAGATCTGTTGGAGGTCGGACTAATGGGGACGTCTTTACACTAGATTTGTTGGAGGTGTACTAATTGATTCTTAAGTCTGGGAGATCGTGATTTACATGTTTTTATTAGTAGCAATTTGCTTTGAACTATGTTTCTTTAACTGCAAGTAATCTTAAATCTGTACTTTTTTTTATTTAATGTTTGTTGTGATTTGCACCACTCTGTTGAGTTATATGAGGTGCGGTTTTAGTCAAAATTATTGTATTCAAGGAATATTAAAATATTTCAGGACCTCCATTATTCATATTCGGTCAGGATATCCATTAATCATTAAGGACCTGAAATATTTAAGGACCTCCATAATTCGATTTCAAGATATCCTGAAATATTTCTGGACCTTAATAATTTGATTTAAGGAGGTCTTGAAAAATAAGTATCTGATTATGGAGGTCTAGAAACTGAATTATTGAGGTTTTCTCGTTCAATCATTTTCATTAATTGTTCTGTCATAATTCTGGCCATTTCATTTCTAATTGAGTGGATTCCCATTTTGTCAATTGTCATGTCAAAGACTTTTATAGCTGAAAATTTTTATATGGGTTTTACTAATTGTTGAAGGTTGTATGGTGACTTATAGTTACATCATTGTTATTTGTACTCTTATCATACTACATCCCCTTATTTTCATATTCATACATGTTTTTCTATCAAATTGGAGTTTAACAATGTTAACACCAGTATAGTCCAACAAGCAATACACAAGTATCCCCTACTGAAACCTTACTCATAGACTGCCAAAATATTTGAGCTCAACAAATGAACTAAATGCATTCTGAATAAAGCTATTAACATGTACGATTTATCTAGCTTTCAGTAAGTCACCAGCTGAAGGAGCAGAACACACATTAAATGCAGCAATCAATCCTGCTTTGAAAGGTGTCCGAGATGTTTACTTTCAAGAATGCAAACCAAAGAATACCAATGCTGTTGCAAGGTTTGTTTTTAGCATATCATTAGCTACTTTTATACAGATTAGGTGGATTTTGCTCGTTCCATCAACCCACTATGGGTAGTCCTCTCAAATTTATCATAAGATTCAGTAAGCCTGCTTAATTAGTCCCATAGGGGACTATAAAAGAGAGGCGAAAGGTACCAAAGGGACAATCAAACTCATAAGTAGAAAATAAACTGACAACGCCATGGCTAAAAAAAAAAAAAACCACCAAACAAATAATAGTACACAAAACACAACATAGAAAACTAAAGACTGAGCAACACAAACTCCACCAAAAACTAGGGGTGATAAGTTTGTATACATGGGCGTCATGTGAACGAATATAAGTTTGCACTCAATACGGAAAATTTTTCACTTTTTTATGTAATTTTTCAGTCTATTGATTAGATAGTTGGTATGTAGTCATATCATAAAACAAACCTTTTTGGGAGAATGATTTTTGAGGAAGTTGTGGCCCTTGGATATCATACAAAAAATTCTTGAAAATACCAGTTTTCCACATTTTTTTTTCTGTAATACCTTAATCAATTGATTACATATTTGGTGTAGAGTCTCATCACAAGAAATTTGATTTTGAGGCCCATGGACATAGGAAATAACTTGAAAATATTGGTTCTTCACTTTTTTCTACAGAGCATGAATAAATTGACAAAATGTATGGTATATAGTCCTGCAAGAAGTTAGAGATTTGTATTTCTTTCCCAATAGTTAATTTTGTAGGACTTGTGGTGTTTGGACATATAAAACTGCTTTGAAAACAGTGTCAGTTTAAGAGAAATAAAAACCTTGATGCCTCAAGGGTTGAGTTGGTCCTGCAGTTGTTTACAATATCAAAATCTTCCAAAAAATATTCTGACACAATTAAACATTAGAATATTAGATGGAAATCTACAACTACATCATTAACAAACTCAATGCTTATCCAATATAAGGGTCAACTCATCCAATGTAAATCTTACAGCTGGTAGGGGACATTGTATTGCATATGTAATACTCTCAGAATGCTTGTTGATTATAGAGAATTATATGTTGACAGTATTTGAAATGGAGTTCTTACTACATGTATCAAGAACACTTAAGGTTGAATTAATCATTGAATAAAGAACATGAGGTCAGTAAAAAAACTCATCATAGATACCAGGATTAAAATTTTGTATGCCAGATGCGCTTTAGGTGACTCCTGTCAAACATACATATGTCTTGCAACGATTCTTTACTTGACATGTCATTTATCTATAATTACTCTTATGAACTGACTAACTAACCAAGCATAACAAGTTGAACTGTCAGCTTTGACTCACTACTGATACCCTGCTAACCAATAAACAGGAAGTTAATGAATGCTGAAATGTGACAACTTTTCACATGGTATAGTATGTTCACATGATGCTTGAATCCTAATTTCAGAAAGCCTTGATTTGTAGTTCCTGAGAAAAGGCTATGAAAATTTTATACATGGGCATCATGTGATAGAATATATAAGTATTTGGTTTTCAGGAAGTTGATGAGTGATGAATCTAAGTGCATCATACAGTATAGCATGATTACATGAAGCAAAATTTTATGGGATGGATTTTAAACAAATGTACCCTGATTAATCGTTTTCTTGGCTTACTTTTTACCAAGAAAATGATGCATGAGATGAATAGATCTTTAAGGATGGTGATAATAAATAGAAATTTAGTTTTTATCAATTCAGTGTTATTTTTCATTTGTTTTTTCTTCTTTTTTCAGAAACAAAGACATCCAAGAGTCAGTACTGGAATATTCATTATCATGTTTAAATGACTATATCACAGATGCTATTAGAAATGAATGGAAGACAAAATAATCATTTTCTTAGTTTGATTTTCTCTCAGTTACAGAGCTAATAAAAACCTGATTTAAAAAAAACCAAAACAAATCTAGTCCATGATAATAAATGAGAGAGGTTTCTTTCAATCATATTTCTTTTCATGCCCATTACAATGTCCATTTGTCTTTAATCCTTTTTGGACAGCTATATATATATGCTTTGATGAGCTTATTACAAATACCACACATTATTTGATCTTTATTTTAACAAGAATCACCAGGTGTGAATCTAAGATTTACTGGTGATAATGAACTAATTGGTGTGTGATCTGCTCCATGGAATCTCTCTGTTGTTATAGAACCACAACTGTCATCCATTCTAATGTCTGATACAGTTTCCTTCTTGGATCTTAGGTCCTGTATATTACGTAGAATAACTTTAGCTTCTTCTCTTGTCTGTTTAATACATATAATACAAAAAATTATAAAATTACAGGAAAATCAGATAATAAATATATAAGTGTTTTAATGTTTAATAAATGTGTTCATGACCATGAAACAGCAATGCCAGTTTATAAAGAATAGATTGATTGTCACTTGCCTTACATTCTTTGAAAAATAGAAAGACTGATTAGGCCACACCAATTTGATTTTTAGTTCTTCGGACAAAAGCTCCAAAAAATATGGGGCGAGCGAGCGAAATTTTTTTTATTGTATTTATTTCTTGAAAATGAGTTTTGTTGAGGCGGGTGCTCTACAAGTGGAGCGAGCGGTATTTTTTTTTTTTTAATTGTGCGATTTAGAATTTTATGTACATATTACGACTAAGTTACTTCAAAGAAAAAGGAGGAGAAACATGCTCATATGCATATAATATGATGTATTTGTGCATGTAGTACAGTTTGTACCATACCCAACTTTCTGGTTCGCTTTGGTTTAGTATAATTTTGATTATTTTCGTGAAATAACCTTTGATTGTGTGAATTTTCATTTAAATTCATAAATGTGTATATATTAAGGAAGCATAGCAGATGCAGTTTAACAAGAGGAATTACGTTAGTTAGGTAAATGAAATGTGTTGAATACAATTAAAACATGTGTATGTATTCCAAAAAATGCCCTTGAAAAATATTAAATAGCTTTTGATATAGTTGTTTTCATTATATGGTAATGATTGTTTATTGGCTGCTTGACATCCAGTTGGAACTTTTTATCCATAATAGGACCAACATAATGAGTGAGGTGAATATTTCAACAACATCCTGAGTAAGATAGTTAATATATTGCTATGCATGTAGATCTCAATTTATTAAAACATTCCCTTAAAATATCTTTAACCACATTCACATGACATGCATTATTTTGACTGAGCAAAACACTTTTTTCCTTTTGCCCCTGAAACCTGCAATGTATTTCAAACTGAAAGTAGTTGCACCAATAACACATCCCTAATATTATTAACATGGCAATCACAATACCACCACTTTGGTCTCGAACGTTGGAACTCTTAAAATTTCCCTTACAAAAGAGTTCTGATTGCATGTCAATAGACTAACAAGTGGATATGGGGTTTTCATCTGTCATTTTTTTTTAAATTCATGTGAATTTAATATTAATTTCATCCAAGACAGATAGCTCTATCTATGTCTGTTGTAGTCTGAGATTACTCTGACGTCCAACGGCTGTTTTGCCAGGCAAGCTGGGGCCGTGGGACAACAGCGCCCCATTATGTCTGGCAAAACAGCCGTTGGACGTCAGAGTAATCTTGGACTATGACAGTCTATGTCTGTTGAAACAATGTCAATGATCAGGGATGACAATGGTTCTAACAAGTACTGATGTGATCGTGGTCATCTAACGAACTTTTTTTATTTTTGTCTCGTAGAACAGGTCTTCATAGGTAAAACGAAATGCATTTCAAATACTAGTAACTGTGTGTTTAATAACTACTTGTCCTCGGCAATGATCTGACACAACTTCATGTTGGCATCCCGATTTTTGACCTTTTATTTACAAATCGATTTATCACACATGCGTTTGAATCGATCGGAGCAATATGTGCACAAGAAAAACGTCTAAGAGAAAAAAAAGTTCAAGGATAAACTAATTTTGGAGCGGCATGCGGCCCAAAAATTGGCGGAAGCGATAATTATTTTTTTTTATTGAAAAGTCAATTTCTCAAAAACAGGAGCGGGAAAATCCAAAGAACTATTCACCAAATTGGTGTGGCCTTAAAATTATAACAATATTTTTGCTTGCAATGAGCAACATGAGGGGACTACCACTTGTTGAGCAGAAATACATGCCTTTCTGATCACCTGAGGTCATCCCCACTTAAAGTGGGGTTAGTGTTACTCAATCTTTAGTTTTCTGTGTAGTGGTATGTGGACTGTCTTTTCATCATTTTATTTTGGCCATGGTTTTGTCTTGTTTTCTTCAACTTTTTCGATTGCCTTGGTATCTTCTCTTTAATTTTAAAGTTCAGCTACACTTGATTAAATAGTTCTGAATTTAGCAGAAACTATTTGTGTTTGTTATCTACTGGACACTGAACAGGTAAAAGTGACTATGTCCAAATTATCCAAATATGAAGAGAACACTTTATTTCATTGTCCTAAAATTTCAATGTATTGTGTTAGTTTTCGAGTCAATGGGAACATTAACAAAATCATTAACAGTCATTGTATTGTCAGCTTCATTTAAACCATTGACATTCACTCTAGTGTCAATGTCAATTTAACACTTAACATTCATTGTGGTGTGAGGCTAAAACTACAGTCACTGTAGTATCAGGCTCAATCAAAACTCTAACAGTCACTGTAGTGCCAGGGTCAATCAAAATAGTAACAGTCACTGTAGTGTAGGCTCAATCAAAACGTTAACAATCACTGTAGTGTAAGGGTCAATCGAAACATTAACAGTCACTGTAGTGTCAGGCTCAATCGAAACATTTACAGTCACTGTAGTGTCAGGCTCAATCAAAACATTTACAGTCACTGTAGTGTCAGGCTCATTCAAAATGTTAACAGTGACTGTAGTGTCAGGCTCAATCAAAACATTTAGTCACTGTAGTGTCAGGGTCAATCTAAACGTTAACAGTCACTGTAGTGCCAGGGTCAATCAAAACGTTAACAGTCACTGTAGTGTCAGGCTCAATCAAAAAATAAACCGTCACTGTAGTGTCGTGGTCCATCAAAACATCAACATTGGATAGTGTCAGGGTCAATCAAAATGTTAACAGTCACTGTAGTGCCAGGTTCAATCAAAACATTAACAGTCACTGTAGTGTCAGGCTCTATCACTATGCTAACAGTCACTGTCGTGCCAGGGTCAATCAAAACATTAACAGTCATTGTGGTGTCAGGGTCAATTTAACCCTTAAGTCACTGTGGTGTCAGGCTCAATCAAAATGTTAACATTCACTGTAGTGTCAGGCTAAATTAAAATGTTAACAGTCACTGTAGTGTAAGGGTCAATCAAAACATTAACAGTCACTGGAGTGTCAGGCTCAATCAAAACATTTACAGTCACTCTAGTGTCAGTGTCAATTTAACAGTTAACATTCATTGTGGTGTGAGGCTAAAACTACAGTCACTGTAGTTTCAGGCTCAATCAAAACCCTAACAGTCACTGTAGTGCCAGGGTCAATCAAAACGTTAACAGTCACTGTAGTGTCAGGGTCAATCAAAACCCTCACAGTCACTGTAGTGCCAGGCTCAATCAAAACCCTAACAGTCACTGTAGTGCCAGGCTCAATCAAAACACAAACAGTCACTGTAGTGTCAGGCTCAATCAAAACATTAACAGTCAATGTAGTGTCGTGGTCCATCAAAACTTCAACATTCGATAGTGTCATGGTCAATCAAAAAGTTATCATTCATTGTAGTGTCATGTTCAATCAAAATGCTTACAGTCTCTGTAGTGTCAGGTTCAATCAAAACATTAACAGTCAATGTAGTGTCAAGGTCAATCATAATGCTAACAGTCACTGTGGTGTCAGTATTAATTTAACCATCAAGTCATGGTGGTGTCAGGGTCTTTTAAATGATGAGGGAGCAAAATTGGAATCACTGCCACTGACTAAGAAAAGTCAGGAGACAGACCATACAAGTCTAGTGATTAGTTTAGTAGCTCAGAAGTACATTCAGTTCCAGAAAATGAAAGGTAAATCGGTTCAAAATTCTACTTGACATGTCACAGTGTTAGGGTAATTTAAATTGTTAACAGTCAGTGTGTCTTGTGAAGTTTATAGACTGCCAACCTAGATATATTCAGATATGGCTGTAAGCTTAGCTTCCTCCTAGAATTCAACTGTCATTCAGGTACATTGAATATTTAACTAGAAATATATCAAAAAACTTTTGTTGTATGTTTTCCCTTTAATTAATGCCTTTGGGTATGTTCTACTTCCAATTAAAAAATCTGATTTTAAATGACTAAGACCTGGAACAAATTCTTCTGAAGTATTAATGATTTTTTTGTAAAATCAAATGTGGTACACCATTTCAACTTATGTTGTTTTCCTTAATTAACCGGTGATTGTAGGGTTCATGGAAAGATGAAACAACTATTTCAATATTTTTCTTTGATAATTGAACAATAGTCTGTTATGTTCTTATGTTAATGCTGAAACAATATGGATATTCAAACACTGCAGTACCCCTCAAGTTTCTATGAAATTCACTTCAAAATGCTAGGCGTTTACCATATACACTTACCTCTTGAAATTCTGTGCATTTCTGGGCTGCAGCATATGCTTCATCTAACTGACCTTGAGCAAAGTTAAAATTGGCCAGATATTTATAAGCTTGGCTTAAATCCTCAGGGTTAAATATCTGAAATAAGTAAATACAGGGTAACAACTGCAGAGAATTAAGCTATCAATAACATGAATAATATCATTTTTGAAGAAAACAGCATTACTTTAATCACTGTAGTCCTTTCCTTTCATTTAAACTAACAGAAATCTAGGATGAAATGAACATGTAGAGCTGCCAACATTTTACAGTTTGTGTAAATAGACAACACTTATAGTTACATAAGTAACATTATTTTATGAACCTAATGATGTAAAACTCATGATATATTTCACAATTATTATATTGAAGTGGACAGAAAATTATCTTTTGTTAGGAGAGAAACACAATTCAGAGATGATTAATGTCCTATACTGTATAATTTAAATTGAATTTGTAGTTCATCACTATGAATTCTTAACTTGTTTTTTTAACGAGTATCATTAATGTAATTTTTTCTACCTGAAATGTTATGCCCGCCTTCCTGATTATGAATCAATTTTATGTTGAAATTATTCAAGATTAAGGTCTTACTATATGTATTACAGAAACTGAACATCATCAATGATCAATGAAACCTTGAAAATCAGGTCATGGTTAGATCAACCCTGTTAAAGTGGAAATATCCATATTATTTGAAAAACAGACCTAATCTAGAAATCTTAAGTTGACCACTAACCATGAAATGAGTTCAAGGTTTGGCAAATCCTGTCTGAAGGACATGTATACCTTGCAATGAATCTTCATACCAATATAAAAATAAAGAGATGTTGTATGATTGCCAATGGGACAAATTTAAACCAGAGACCTAATGACAAGAATATGAGGTCACTGTATGGTCTATAACTATGAGAAAAACTCATATGGTAATAAACTGTTATCACAGAGATATGTCTCGCCTTTTTGTAATTTTGATAATGCAAATGTTGGAATTAAAATAGCAATACTTTAACATGTAAGTTATGCAAATATTCAATGTCGATGAACCATGACTGAAGGTACATGGCTAAACAATCTCCATGGAATGAGATGTGCCAATGCTAATACAACTGCATACCAAATACCATTGACTTATTATAAGTCGTTCCCTTTAAATAAACCTAAACAAAAACATTAACTTGTAAACTATGTAAAAGTTTAAAAGTCAATGAACCATGATCAGGGGTGGGGCTATATAATCTCCATGGAAAAGATACTTGCAAATGCCAATAAATTTGCATACCAAATATCATTGACTTAACATTAGCAGTTCATCTTAAACTGATCTAATCACAAACTAATACATGTAAACTAAGCAAAAGTTTCAAAGTAAATAGACCATGACTGAGGGGGCGGGGCCAAATATTATCTATGGAAATGAGATGTGCTAATGCTTATACAACTGAACACCAATTAACATTGGCATACCACTAATGGTTCCCCTTGAACTGACCTAATCACAAACTAATACATGTTAACTTAGCAAAATTTTCAAAGTCTATAGACCATGACTAAGGGGGCGGCGCCAAATAATCTCCAAGGTAATGAGATGTGCCAATGCTAATACAACTGCATACCAAATATCATTGACCTAACACTAGTGGTTCACCATGAACTAGACCTAATCACAAACTAATACATTGTTGACGCCGTCGCCATCCCCAACGCCTGAAACAGCATACCTATGTCTCGCTTTTTGACTCCGTCAAGGCAAGACAAAAATAAAGCTATTAAATGCTTTGGGATGACAAAATATGAAACATTAAGAAAACCAACTGCTTAATTTATACTAAACCAATTAAAGAAAAACAATAATGGCAGACAGCAGGCAACAACTAGATAACAGAATCCTGGCTTGGGACTGTCATATAAAGAATGTGGCAGGGTTAAAGATGGTTAAAAATCAATTTATGCAACAATAGCAGCATCTTCAAAATCTAAGATGTTTTTCCACAATTTTTTTGTTTTGATGTAAAGACAATACTTAAACACAACAGTTTTCAGCGATGATTTATTTACATTTCTGTTTAATTAAGTGAAATTGAATTTGCAATTAAGAGTTGATTTAAGAGGAGAGGAGTATCTTACATTCATGACACATCTGTTCATTTCATCAATCACTGATACTTACCCCTTGTCTGTTAGCTTCATTAACATATTCTGTATAAGCAGCAGCAGCATGTGTTTCTTCTGATAGCCTCTCGTGAAGTCTATATTTATACAAAGAGGTACAAATTAATGATAATCTGACTGAATGCAACATAATCCTTTGCCTTCTTTTTCAAATCATTACCTAGTTCACTAAATTACTGATATATTGGAATATTTAAATCCTTAAAGTGGCATCAGCTATGATTTTGACCATATAAGTTGAAAAAATTAAAGTATGTTCTTATGTACAAACATTTATAAGAAGGGAATATTGAATAATAATTCACTAAAAGCAGTCAGTTTGGTTAAAATTTGGCAAAATTGGCTCAAAAACTTTGCTGATACATTACTGTCTTGCAAATCATCAATCTGAACTTATTTTGATCCATATGCATACAATCTATGACGTGACATCAGTTAGAGACCTATGTGCTCAGCATGAACAGTTATAGTATAGAATGAAATGAAAAAGATAAACTATGAAAGCCAACAGAAAGACCAAATTAATTGACAGACTTGGCTGCCAAACAAAATTTACATTATTTATTATCTATCATTTGAAATCGAGCAGAACAAGGAAAATATTCAAATACTTTCTCATGTTCTTATCTCCTAAATCAATGTATGTATGTCTATTTACATCCATTTTTTTATATCAGGATTACATGTTAATCAGTACTTTTTATAGGTCAAATGAATGTTATTGTAGTAATTAAACCATTTTTTAAAACATTTCGGCTACTGGTCTTCTTCAGTTTCTTTAATAATATCCTTCTAACCTACATGGTGGACAAGTCACTTTCCACAATCATTTAGGTGTTATACATGTACAATCATTTAAATCATTTAGATGTATACCAATCTAAACGATTGTGAAGTTGTCTACCACGAAGGTTAAAAGGATAATAAAGAAAATGAAAAAGGCCACTGGCTGAAACATCTTAAAAATTCATAAGGGGTTCTTCGGAACCCTGTGTCTTGTCTGTGATTGCTGCTGTCAGTGTAAAAGTGTAATGTTTACTTGAAAAGTGAGTCCATTATCAGTAAAATACAGAATTTAAAAAAAAAATTCAAATTTTTTCTTTAGATGCTATTTCTTGGTCTTGAAGATGAGCTTCTGTACAAGTTTCATAACAATCCATGAAGGTATACAAATGTATATCTAAGAAATTTAATCAAATTTAATCCCAGACTGTCTGTAAATGTTAACTGTAAAAAACTGAGTACATCTTTCAGAAAATACTGAAAATGAAAATATATTTTCAAAAGTTTGCTTCAGACATTATCTCTTAATCATAAAAAGGCTTCTGCCAAAGTTTCATAAAATTACATGAAAGTTTGACAGACTGTATCTACTTATTTAGTGTAAAAAACATTAAGTCCATTTTTCAGTAAAATATCGGAAAATGAAAATAAATATTTTCAAAATTATGTTCCAGATACTGTATTTTGGTCATTAACAAGCTTCTGTCCAAATTTCAAAAAATTCCATAAAGATTTGACAAAGTTATTGATGACTGAAAAACTTTAACCTCAGACTGAATCTATTGATGGTTAACTGTAAAAACAACTAAGTCCATTTATCAGTAAAAAACGGAAAAATTAAAAAAAATATTTTCGAAATTTTGCTCTGGATACTGTATTTTGGTCATAACCAAGGTTCTGCCCAAATTTCATAAAATTCCATGAAGGTTTTTACAAAGTTATTGGTGTCTTAAAAAACTTAAACCACAGACTGAACCTAAATGTTGACGCCACCGACAGAATCTAGGATCGCCATAAATGTTGCAGGCTCGACAAAAATGGTTCAAATATTTCAAAAAATGTTAAATGTGTTCCTATTGGAATTTCTAGATAAGAACTCATGTTAATGGTCTTTTAAATGGCAGCTAGTCCAAAAATATGCACAATGTTGATACTTTATAATGATTTCATGCAATGTTCATTTTTTCCCATAGGAAACAATGAGTCTTTATGAATAGTTCTCTCAATGGCAATCATACCACATCTTCTAATTTTTAAATATATAACAATTGCAATCTTGAATAACAGAGTGTCTGTGAAATTTGAAAACAGTATTAATGGATGACAACAGAGAAAAGACAGTTAGGGAATAGAAAACACATATATTTGTTGTTTGATTTTTAACAATGTACTGACTTTGCTAATTTAATGATGGCCATTCCTTCTACATCACCAATACTATGGGCTTTCCTAAAACATTTTTTTGCCTCCTGTAATCTTTCTAATTTCTCATAAGACTCTCCAAGTGCTACAACCATTCTGGAATCATTGGGTCTGAAAATATAAAAGATTATTTTACCCAAAGATATACTGATGCAGCAGTTTGATATCTTTAGAAAACTTGTAAAAGAATACTCAATACCTCGCAAGGAACTCTATTTAAATCTGTGCTAGGGACTTCTTTGAAATTGCAGAGAGGTGTGATCTTTTGCTACATTCTGTAGGCCTCACTGTGACTTTGAGATGAAGAACTGCAATAAAAGTAGTTCCTTTGCTTTTGTTTTTGTCAAGTGTATGCAGATACTTTATGTCATAAATAAGTCACCATACACATGATACATGTCTTTTCCATTTTATTGTAAAAGCCCCCGTCTTGTGAATTGACATGCAAACTTTATTGTAGCAAGCATTTGTCAGTATTTGTTTTATAGATGCAGGAAACTCCTTGATTGTTTCACATAGGCCCCATTTGAATCTGCTAGGTTTGACAAGGTTATTGGTGTCTAAAATAAATGGGGAAAGTGTCCATGGGACACAGATGATGCCCCAGCTTGAATATCGCGTTATGAAGGGACATAACTCACAGTCAGGGGTACTACTTAAACAAGTGATTTCAGAATCACTCCCTCGAGTGATTTTGGCTGTGAAATAATAAAAATTTTCACACAGACTTTTTAAAATCACTGAAACAAGTAATTTTAGAAAGTTAAAATGTAATCACTTTAATAAGTGTTTATAACATTTTCTTGATATTTTTCCCACAAGCTTGATTTTTTTATTGGTAAAAAGACAACAATTCCATTGAAAAAACAACTATGTATATGCAGAAATTGTCTTTTGCTTGATAAGCCTGACACTTTTACAGTTTTTTTAAAATATGCAAAAACTGGAATAGTTTGTAGATCAGGTCATAACCTTGAAGTAGATCATTCTAACTCTAAAGAAAACCAATCAGGTTACCTAATATTGTTGATCTTTGTCTGATAGTAAGAGTAGTTAATGAATTTTTGATTACAGAAAAATTCCCAAGGGTACTTTTAAAAGCTTTAGCGCACTAACTTACTGCCCAAGCGCACTGGTGAAATTAATATACAAAGAAAAAGGGATAATTGATTTATGTAGGAAAATTATAGAAAAGATTGTGAAAATATGGAAAATCAATGAAATTAGCATTTGAAGATCAAAGAAAACACTAAAATCACTTAAATAGGTGATAACTGAATTTATCAAATCACTGAAATAAGTGATGATGAAATCACTTGTTTAAGTAGCACCCCTGACTGCACTCAAGAACTGTAAAAGTCACACTACCCAAATTTGTACTTGAACTGAGTTTTGTGGTAATTAGCGTTTTGCATAAGTTTCATAACATTTGGCTGAGGCAAACTAAAGTAAGAGAACAGAAACGAATATTTCAGCAATTTTTCCATTTGTAAAGGGGCATAACTCTAGAACGGTAAAAGTGACGCCACCAAAATTCGACCTTGATCTGTGTTTTGTGGTAATAAGCATTGTGTATAAGTATCATAACATTTGGTAGAGGCAAACTATAATTAGAGAACGGAAACAAAAAATTCAGCAATTTTTCCATTTGTAAAGTGGCATAACTCTATAACAGTTAAAGTGACGCCACCAAAATTTGAACTTGATCTGTTTTTTGTGGTAATAAGCATTGTGTATAAGTTTCATAATATTTGGCTGAGGCAAACTAAAGTTAGAGAACGGAAACCAATTTTGGAACGTACGGACGGACAAGGGTAAAACTTAATGCCCCCGCCACCACGGCGGGGGCATAAAAACCACTAAAGATTGAAGAGGCAGATGACAGAATGGAGGATCACAATGTATCACTTCCACAACTAAATCTCACAGGCTCAACAAAAAGTAAGAATCAAAGCACTGTAAGCGCTGTAGGCAGTTAACCAAAAACCAAGGCAAACGTAATTATGAAAACTGTGGCAATGTTGCTTCAATTTTTAAGATTTGAAAGAACAAACATTAAACATTCGTATATTGTACATTTATGTTCATTAAATGAATTGATTATTAAGGCAAATTAATTAATATTTCATCAAGGTTTTCAAAAGCAACTCATGATCATATATCAATGTAAATGACCCCCATCTTCACCCCCAAGTGCATGATGTTACTCCATACTAAGTTTGGAATAAAATGACAGGTGATTATAAAACAGTTGGTCAAACATTCTCGGGCTTTACACTGCTTGAAAGATTTATATGTTTTCTTTAAAATGAGCCATAAATGAAAATGATTATAGGCCCAGAAATAATTTAATAAACAATTAAAGTAAATTCAATAATCTAGACTCATTTTTTGGATCAAAATTTTTTTTTATAATAAACAAGAAATAATTGTAACAGGATGCCGTTACGAAGTCTCCCAAACAAAGCCCCCATAATTCGTCATTCCCATGGTCTCCTGACATTGGGCAAAGTCCAGTTCATATTGGTTTGGTCTAGTAAAGTGATATGCATATGTGACACCAAGGAGATTGACCCTGTATGTCATTCAAATCTTTTTGAAATGATGAACAGGAATAAATACGGTTTAGGTGTGGGTATCTCGACCGTTTACAAGTTCTCAAACAGGAGGGGGTGGGGTGACCCCAGGGACTCCCCCTATATTTCATTTGATTTGTTATATTGTCCCATACATGAATACATATGGTTTAGGGGTGGGGATCTCGACCATTTCCAAGTTCTCAAACAGGAGGGGGTGGGGTGACCCCAGGGACTCCCCCTATATTTCATTTGATTTGTTATGTTGTCCCATACATGAATACATATGGTTTAGGGGTCGGGATCTCGACCATTTCCAAGTTCTCAAACAGGAGGGGGTTGGGTGACCCCAGGGACTCCCCAAATATTTCATTTGATTTGTTATATTGTCCCATACATGAATATATATGGTTAAGGGATGGGGATCTTGACTGTTTACAAGTTCTCAAACAAGAGGGGGTGGGGTGTCCCCATGGACTCCCCCTATATTTCATTTGATTTGTTTTATTGTCCCATACATGAATATATATGGTTTAGGGGTGGGGATCTCGACCATTTCCAAGTTCTCAAACAGGAGGGGGTGGGGTGACCCGAGGAACTCCCCATATATTTCATTTGATTTGTTTTATTGTCCCATACATGAATATATATATGATTAGGGGTGGGGATCTTGACTGTTTACAAGTTCTCAAACAAGAGGGGGTGGGGTGTCCCCATGGACTCCCCCTATATTTCATTTGATTTGTTTTATTGTTCCATACATGAATGGATATGGTTTAGGGTTAGGGATCTCAACCATTTCCAAGTTCTCAAACAGGAGGGGTTGGGGTGACCCCAGGGACTCGCCATATATTTCATTTGATTTGTTATATTGTCCCATACATGAATATATATGGTTTAGGGGTGGGGATCTCGACCGTTTACAAGTTCTCAAAAAAGGAGGGGGTGGGGTGACCCCAGGGACTCACTCTATATTTCATTTTGGATTTGTTTTATTGTCCCATACATGAATATATATGGTTATGGGGTGGGGATCTTGACCATTTCCAAGTTCTCAAACAGGAGGGGCTGGGACGACACTGGGGACTCCCCCAAATTATTTTCATTTGATTTTTTTATTGTCCCATTCAAGTATATATATTGTTTAGGGGTGGGGATCGCGACGGTTTACAAGATAAAAGTACATTTTCAAATTGAAGGGGGTTGGGATGACCCCCAGGGACTCACCCTACATTTTGGTTGATTTTTTGTATTGTCCTGTTCTCATTACTGAAGACTGCATGTGTCTATCACCTACTGTTTTCGAGAAATAGTCATTTGAAAATTTAAAAAAATAAAATCCCATAGGGTTCTATAGTAAACCCCTCCCTTCTTCAGGCCCCTCCAAATACCCCTAAATAGACCCCAATGCACAAACAAAAGATTAATGGCTCCACTAGACATGTTAGTCTAATATTTTATGAAACCCTAAGTAAATCTGACAAACGGTCAAAGTTGTCTTCTTAGACGGGTTGACTGGATTCGGTCTGACTTGTCTCGGGGACGAGTTGTCCACATTACTTAAAACATCCCATCAACGTCGATTTCCGCATCTGTTTTCATGACCTCTTTTCATTCATAAAATAACAACAACCTTATTTGGCAAGGTAAGTTAGAAATTACCACCCACTTATATAACTTTATTTCCTCTATCATAGAGATTTGTTGTACATGAACAATATTCCTGCGCATTTTGCCATTTGGGAAATATAAACAACTTGTAATTACCGATTTTCGGCGATGAAATATTTCATACAATTGTTCTTTGACATCGTAGCCAAAAGCACAGGGGATAATAAACTACGTACGGATTTCTATTGAGCACTACTTCCTATGTGCAACTTCAAAGGTTTTGGGTAGTTCGACGATCATTTAAGGTTTTTCTGGTCATATTTTTTGTATTCCAGAAATAAAAGTATTAAAAAAATGTCCATTTAGTTATAAATAACATAATAGTCAGCTAGATAGTAACAATGGCACGTATTTCAGCATTTATTGGGTAAAACACAAATCTAGGGTGCTCGCATAAGGCAGCTTAACTGCCTAACAAAAACAGATGGCAATTTTATGACAGAGATAGTTCAGACTGTCCCTTTTGGTCAGCTGATTAGCAACAACATTATCATCACTACTGACAAACTTTGTCCTGACTTTATTGGAAATAATGTTTATGTCTTATTCCACAAGCAAACTTCTAGATCTGCAAACTTTATACCGTAGGTTAATTATCATCATAATTACCTCAGCTGTTGAGCTTGTCTGTAATAATATAAACAATAATGATACATTTTCAGAATTTCATATGTCTGTCCTAATCCATACCAGGCTCTATAATCCCTCCTGTTTACCTCTGAAATAAATATAATAGCACATCTTCATTATAACTCATTGTTCTAGATCAAACTAAACCCAATAGTCAGTTCTGTCCAGATAGACCAAAGATGTATAATTATATTACATAAAAAAAAAAAAAAAAAAGATTATCTAAATTTACATAGTAAACTCTAATCAAAATTTATCTAGTAAACTCTAATCAAAATTTACCTAATAAAATCTTACAGTCAAGAGTAAGATATTGTCTGTTGCCAACGACACAACACCGCTGCCAATAGAATGTAGGATCACTATGTCTCCCTTTCACCATGTTCTATGCAGGATAGACAAAATCCCATTTTATTTGAAAACAAATTTGTTACTGAATAATTTTTCCAATTATGCAAGACATATTAAGTTCTAAACAAAGGACTACCTATTGATCTGGAAACAGAATTAAAACCACAACCATGTATGTATTGACCCATTTTGTCCGTACTGGTCAGCTAAATTTGAAGATTGTCCATTTTGGTATGATGGAAAACTACACATCTACACACATCCATAAAAATACACATATACACACAACTTCAGCTGGCAGGTAATCCTGTCAATTTTTATATGAAAAGTAACTACACATATACACACCTATTGCTTGTCTGTAAGCCTGCAATGCTGCTGAGGTATTTTTTAATTCCATAAATTCATGTCCCATCAATGTCCATGCTGACAGATAATGAGGGTTTAGTTTTAATGCTCTTTGGAAATACATTACAGCTTTCTCATGTTGTTGTCTTAATGAATAATAATTTCCTGAAATGATAAAAAAGTATTAAATATGACATGTCCTGACTATGGTAAATTACAAGGAGGCCAAATACTAAATACACTAGAACCCTTTTTTTGCATTTGTGTTTTTTCTGTCAATAATTTTACTGTGAATTGTCCTATCAAAATGTACAATTGTCAAGTATATGAACACTGTGTAAATCTAAAGACATGTATTTACATTTAAGTTGTCAATAGAAATCAAGTATCAAAATTATGATTTTTTTCAAAGACCTTTTATTTCCTGATGTCACAACAGCAAAATCAGAGGAAAGCAAAAAAAAAATACTTCATTATATAAGTGTGACCAATAAAGAACAGAGATCAAGCAAACCAAACATTGATTATCAAAAATATAATCAACCATTCAGGGGAAGCCTATAAAACATCTTGGAATTAAGAGAAAATAAATTTTAAGCTTTAGCTTTGTTTTTACTTTGAGTAAAGTATTTACATACCTATTACACAACATGTTTCAACTCTGTATTTATCAATATCACAACATCTATGTGCTAAATGGGCAAGATCTGCTCTCATCTCCTGTTATTAGAAAAGTATTAAAGCTTAAAGGTGATATGATGAAATTTTTTTAAATGGATACTATTAAAAAAATTAATACAATTTCTATATATCACAAGAATATTAAACAAAAAAACATGTATGAGGTTAACATCTTTACAATAACAGAAGAGTTTAATGTACAGAAGTTTACACTGAGACCAAGGACAATAGTCACATGTCAGAGCAGTTTAATGTACAAAAGTTTACACTGAGACCAAGAACAATAGTCACATGTCAGAGCAGTTTAATGTTCAAAAGTTTACACTGAGACCAAGAACACATGTCACATGTCAGAGCAGTTTAATGTACAAAAGTTTACACTGAGACCAAGAACAATAGTCACATGTCAGAGCAGTTTAATGTTCAAAAGTTTACACTGAGACCAAGAACACATGTCACATGTCAGAGCAGTTTAATGTACAAAAGTTTACACTGAGACCAAGAACACATGTCACATGTCAGAGCAGTTTAATGTACAAAAGTTTACACGGAGACCAAGAACAATAGTCACATGTCAGAGCAGTTTAATGTTCAAAAGTTTACACTGAGACCAAGAACACATGTCACATGTCAGAGCAGTTTAATGTACAAAAGTTTACACTGAGACCAAGAACACATGTCACATGTCAGAGCATTTTAATGTACAAAAGTTTACACGGAGACCAAGAACAATAGTCACATGTCAGAGCAGTTTAATGTACAAAAGTTTACACTGAGACCAAGAACACATGTCACATGTCAGAACAGTTTAATGTACAAAAGTTTACACTGAGACCAAGAACAATAGTCACATGTCAGAGCAGTTTAATGTACAAAAGTTTACACTGAGACCAAGAACACATGTCACATGTCAGAGCAGTTTAATGTACAAAAGTTTACACTGAGATCAAGAACAATAGTCACATGTCAGAGCAGTTTAATGTTCAAAAGTTTACACTGAGACCAAGAACACATGTCACATGTCAGAACAGTTTAATGTACAAAAGTTTACACTGAGACCAAGGACAATAGTCACATGTCAGAGCAGTTTAATGTACAAAAGTTTACACTGAGACCAAGAACAATAGTCACATGTCAGAGCAGTTTAATGTTCAAAAGTTTACACTGAGACCAAGAACACATGTCACATGTCAGAGCAGTTTAATGTACAAAAGTTTACACGGAGACCAAGAACAATAGTCACATGTCAGAGCAGTTTAATGTACAAAAGTTTACACTGAGACCAAGAACAATAGTCACATGTCAGAGCAGTTTAATGTTCAAAAGTTTACACTGAGACCAAGAACACATGTCACATGTCAGAGCAGTTTAATGTACAAAAGTTTACACTGAGACCAAGAACAATAGTCACATGTCAGAGCAGTTTAATGTTCAAAAGTTTACACTGAGACCAAGAACACATGTCACATGTCAGAGCAGTTTAATGTACAAAAGTTTACACTGAGACCAAGAACACATGTCACATGTCAGAGCAGTTTAATGTACAAAAGTTTACACGGAGACCAAGAACAATAGTCACATGTCAGAGCAGTTTAATGTTCAAAAGTTTACACTGAGACCAAGAACACATGTCACATGTCAGAGCAGTTTAATGTACAAAAGTTTACACTGAGACCAAGAACACATGTCACATGTCAGAGCATTTTAATGTACAAAAGTTTACACGGAGACCAAGAACAATAGTCACATGTCAGAGCAGTTTAATGTACAAAAGTTTACACTGAGACCAAGAACACATGTCACATGTCAGAACAGTTTAATGTACAAAAGTTTACACTGAGACCAAGAACACATGTCAGACTGAAACTTCATGTCTATTTTATGTCTACCTGTGCGAATTTCAAACGCGTGATTTTACGCCAGTACTTAAAACCTTCCATCCTTTATGGGTGGATTTTACATAGATAAATAAAATCGTATAATATAAGCAAAACGAGGATTTTAAATTTGATGTATGCATTTTTGTGCTTCTTAGTTACATTTGTTTGTTTTATAGTGATTAAGATGATAACACAATGTTGACTGCTGTACCCCTATTTTTGACATTTTTACCTATTGTGTCTGTTTGTTTTGTTCACGCATCGTTGTCAATATAATGGAATTTGATGCGACTGTCATACAAGTGAGAGGTTTAGCTAGCTATAAAACCAGGTTCAATCCACCATTTTCTACATAAGAAAATGCCTGTACAAAGTCAGGAATATGACAGTTGTTATCCATTTGTTTGATGTGTTTGTTTTTTTGATTTTGCCATTTGATTGGGGACTTTCCTTTTTGAATTTTCCTCGGAGTTCAGTATTTTTGTGATTTTACTTTTTCATAACATATTGCTGGACCATCTGGCTTAATGGACCAGAATTACATAACTAGCTTAAATCATTTACTTTTGGATTTATTATATAAAAACAAGTAAAACTGTGAGCTACTGCTCACTGATGATACCCCCGCTGTAATATTTCGGTAAACAGGAAGTTGTTGAGTGATGAATCTGAAAACACATCACACGGTGTAACTTACTTATATAAACTGTGAAACCAAATTTCAGAAATCCCTGTTAAGTAGTTCCTGAGAAAAATGCGACAAAAATTTACAACTTGGCTATCATGTGTAAAATAATACAAGTGTTCGGTAAACAGGAAGTTGTTGAGTGATGAATCTGAAAACGCATCACACTGTGTAACTTACTTATATAAACCCTGAAACCAAATTTCAGAAATCCTTATCAAGTAGTTCCTGAGAAAAATGCGACGAAAATATTTATGGGACGGACGGATGGACTGACAGACTGACGGAAGGACAGACAGAGGTAAAACAGTATACCCCCCCTTTTTTAAAGTGGGGGTATAAAAATAACTTCATGTAATAATAAACACAATAAACTGATAAGTCAGTAACAGAGAAGCTTGAATTTCCTTCCAAACTGCCACTTTAAATTGAAACTGAACTAAGGACCATATTGCTTCATTCACTGCAGCAAAGTTGTCAGCATATTGAAATTCTATAATGTTGATCAGATGAGGAATTTCTGCACCAAATTCAAGCAAGTGTTTCCATATATTGTCTTTTTTTGTGATGCATTAAATATGTTCCATCTACTTGCATATATACAACGAAATAACATACCTTTATATAGAGTAAATTTGAGTATGTGTCCATGTTTTCTAATCTATATGGATCTAATTCTTGTAATTCTGCAAATGCTGTCACTGACATATCAATCTCTACAAAATTAACGACACAATACACTTAATAATTACTCAATATAAATCTAGTTACTGTAAATTCAGAAATTATTGTGGGTTTTTTATTAATGCGAATAACGTGACTTCTTGAGTATCGCAATAATAAAACACGCATACTGATATCAAATACATATATCTGTATGTAGCTTTTCCAAAATTCGCAATAGTTAAACGCGCATTTTTGTTTATTTTTCAAAAATCGCAATAAATGTACACAATAATTTCTGAATTTACAGTATCAAGGAATCTGAACATCTGACAAAAACTAAACCTGAAATGACTACATCTTTAAGGGGTTAAATTCCACATCTTCCAAACCTGAAATGACTACATCCTTAAGGGAGTAAATTCCACAGTTAACCAGTCTGATTCTAAGAGGAGCAGCAATTTTGTATTAAGGAATTAATTGGTATGTGATCAATAATATTTGTATGACATTGTTTCACAGAATTTTTCGATTTATTTGATTTTTTCACCAAAATAGCCCTAAAATTGAATATCCGTTGATTTTGCATAAAAATGGAAATTAATACCTAGCTTTACTACTCATTGCTAAGTAACCTCAATTTGTGACAGTAAAACCTACGTTTTTACTTAAGCAAAGATAAAAATACAATCCGGTAATCTTCTAAATACCCACCCTGCCAGCAAGACTACCTATCATAGTTTATGTTCTTGAAATGCATATCATGTGAAATTTGAAGATGTTAACTGTTTTACCTCTCATATTATGATAAACTACAGCCATCTGGGATACAATGTATGTACTTTTACTAAATCCTCCATCTACAAGACCTTGATAAATTTTAAGGGCTTCCTCATTTAGCTGTAGTTCTAAGTACATGTGTCCTAAGAATAAATTCTTCATCCAATGGTTGGGTAATGATAATGACAACAGCTGTAATGAACAAATATAACTGTGATTAAAAATGGAAAGTATGAAAAAACAACAATAATCAATTGACCAACAATAATTACTCCCAAGAGTATCATCAACCATGTCACTTAATGATTAAATTCATATCTTTTAAAGACATATGCATGAATAATATACAGTATTTTTGTAAATATTTAAATTTGTCAACACTGAACTTTTTTTATCTATATTTCATATTCATAAGTACATTTCAAGATGTATAGAGGAAGTGAGTTGAGTAGGCCTTAGCTCTAATGTATACTAATTTGCAGATTTTACTGATACAAATATCATTTTCCCTGTGTAGCTACAGTTATCTCCTCATGTCAGTATATTTCTATTGTGTCTTCCTCAATAATAACAACCTCTATCTGATACTAAACAAATATCATAAACAACTCTTTGTCTGCTTGTAAATAAGACAGCAGAACTTTGCCTTCTGAGTTAATCTGGAATACTCACAGTTTCTTTATCAGGTATGAGAACAGCAAGTTCTAACCATGCACCCCAATGTAATGGTTCGTAATTAACAGCTTCTACCAACATCTCTAAAGCTTCTTTTAGTAAGTCTAGCTTCTTTAAAACTATACCATATCTAAAAAAAAAGATATATAGATATGATAGATACACAAAAAATATTCTTAACTTTACCTTATCTATTAGTTAATTTTACACTTATATTATAATATGAATTACATTTTATATTCAGTAAAATAGGTCAATATATACTGCTAGCCAACTCAAAAATATATCCCCAAAACAGCAATTTTGCTTAAATGTTATAAAATGTTCAAATCATCAGATATGAAATTCAGTTGAAGGAAAATATAGATGTTAAGCATCAAAATGACATTATGGTTTTCACATCAAATTTCTTTTTTTAAAGTAATTTACAACTATTTTCACTTATAAAATAAATGAGAATGTGTCCATTGGACACAGATGATGCCCTGCTTGCATATAATATTTATAAAGGGCATAACTCGAGAAGGATAAAAGCGTCGCCACCCAAATTTGAAATTGATCTGTGTTTTGTGGTAATAAGCATAGTGTATAAATTTCATAACATTTGGTTGACAATAGTTGAGGCAAACTGAAGTTAGAGAACAGAAACCAATTTTGGGACATACGAACGGACAGACAAGGGTAACAATTAATGCCCCCTCTGCTGCGGTTGGGGCATAAAAAATTTGATTGATAGAATAATTGTTAGTGTTAAACGCCTCTTTGAGCAAACTTGACTATATTATAGTGACCATTTCATATTTGTGGAGGAAGCTGAAGTACCTGGAGAGAACCACTGACCCTTAGAATCAGAAATGAACACACCTTGCCATGAGTTGGGTTCAAACTAACAACCTAAGTGCTGCAATGGTGTGCTCATTGTAAATGAACTACTTTGACCACTAGATCAGCAAAGGTTATCAATAATATTCAATTCTGAAACTAAATATATCTCGTTTTTATTAGAGAATCACTTTCCAATATAGTAATAGGGTACTCAATCAGAAACCCAGTAACTAGTTAAAACATCCCATCAATATGATATCTTTTTTTTTGTTTGTGTGGGGGGAGAGGGGGGTATTATTGAAACTGCTTCAATCACTTTGTTCTAGTGTTAATGCTATAGATGAATATATACTTACAAATATAAACAAAATCCATCAAGTTCTTTCATTATGTATTTTTTACTTAGTTCTATTTTTAAAGTTTTCAAATGCTCATTTTCTAGGTGATCAGGAGGACCTATTAAAATACAAAAAAGATGGTTCATTTTATCAAAATGTGTTCATGATTTTCATCAGACTAGATAATCTTGACTATCTCTAACACGAAGCTTAATACTAAAATTTATGATAAAAGAGATGATTTTTTATTTCCTATTGTTAATTATCCATTTTTAGATGGTGACGTTCCCTTGGCACCATCGTATTGTGTTTATATATCTCAACTTGTTCGATTTGCTCGTGTATGTAACAACGTATTTGATTTTAATGAAAGAAATCTCTGTATTACTGAAAAATTATTACACCAATGTTTTCAATATCACAAACTTGTTAAAACTTTTACCATATTTTATTATCGCAACAAGGACATCATTTGTAAATGTAAATCAACATTAAGATTATGTTTAGGTATTTCACATCCCATCTTTTCGGGCAATATTCTATACAAAGCACAAAAATGTCATCATTTACCTCAAAAGCTAACCAATCCTTTAAACAGACTTATTCAGAAGGGATATAGTTATGATACTGTTGTCAAGTCATTAAAGATGGCATTTCTTGGAATTAATATTGATTCCCTCTTAGGATCTTTGCATCGAAAATAAACACTTATTCTAAAACCAGTTGTTGGCCTCATACAGGTTATGTTCTTGTATAATTTATGATGGAAGGGATTGTGGTTGATTTTCGTATGATGAAGACATAATCTTTCAATCAGTTTAATGGAAGTCTGGAGCTGGCATAGCAGTAACTGCCAGTAGTCCTTTTTGTTTATCACTGTCATTTTGCTTAGTTTCTTCTGTTACTTATTCTAACATCACACTCAAATTTCATTCAAAATGAGTTTTACTGTGTGTTTGTTTATTCCATATTGGCTAGAGGTATAAGGGAGGGTTGAGGTCTCACAAAACATATTTAACCTTGCCGCATTTTTGCGCCAGTTCCACATCAGAAACCTCTAGCCTTTGTTAGTCTTGTGTGTTTTTTTTATTTTGGAACATTTGTATGTTTCAGAGTTTAGCGTGGGGCACAGTTCGCTGAACTAGTATACATTATTGTTCAGAGGTCAACTGAAGCCCGCCTCTGGGTGCCATATATTTATGGGTGCATTGAAGACCCTTTGGTGGTCTTGGGCTGTTTCCTGCTCTTTGATCAGGTTGTTGTCTCTTTGATACATTCCTAGTATTCAATCAATAAGATATCTTGGTGTTTACCTGACTGGGAGACAAGCTAGATTTATCTTTCAGTCACATTACCTAGCTTTATCTTTCAGTCACATTACCTAGCTTTATCTATCAGCCACATTACCTAGCTTTATCTTTCAGCCACATTACCTAGCTTTATTTTTTCATTCCACATTACCTAACTTTACCTTTCAATCAACATTACCTAGCTTTATCTTTCAGCCACATTACCTAGCTTTATCTTTCATTCACATTACCTAGCTTTATCTTTCATTCACATTACCTAACTTTATCTTTCAATCCACATTACCTAGCTTTATCTTTCAGCCACATTACCTAGCTTTATCTTTCATTCACATTACCTAGCTTTATCTTTCAGTTACATTGTCTAACTTTATCTTCCAGCCCTATTGTCTAGTTTTATCTAACAGTCCCATATGCATTGTATAGCTTAATCAAACAACCACATTGTATAGCTTTATCAAACAGCAACATTGTTTAGCTTTATATTTAGCCACATTGTCTAGATTTATCTTACAGCCACATTGTCTAGTTTTATCTACAGCCACACTGTCTAGCTTTATCTTACAGCATAACTGTCTAGCTTCATCTTCCAGCCACAGAAGAAAGTCGTATACAAAATACTACATATAATATTGTTATTTGAATGAAGGATAGGGATAAGGTTCTTTTTTTTGTATGGAGAATTCATATCTTACAATATTAAGTCTAACCTATAGAGTCTGAAGCATTATCAACTTTTCTTTTTTCATCAGCCAGATAGCGACCATACAGGTACAAAAAATAGTTATTTGAACTACTGCATTCTTGCAAGAAGTATACTGCTCTGTCATACTCTTTCAGATCAAAATAACTTGAGGCCAAAGCAAACTTATCATACTCATCATAATAATCCTGTAAATATAACATAACTACCATTCATCTATTTATTCTGTGAGCATTTTCAGTCAGAGGTAAAATTCTTTTTGAACACCTCTTTTCAGGTTTGATTTATAATTATATTTTGAATCAGTGTTTTAACCTAATAACATAGAAAGACATGTATTTTACATGTTTATATATTGTACATATCCTTAATAAACATGATAAATGATTCTAAAATAGATAAACTGCTTCGCCGAGCGAAGCTGGATACGACCGCAGAGGTCCAACCCTGAACAGTTGGGGCAAAGATGGACACAATATTCAATATATTCAATTGAAGATTTCTTGCTGTTGTGCAATACACTGTGCTGTTGCGCAATACTTAGTAAATCTGTTTTCAGACTATATACAAAGAATTAGCAAAATAAATTGTGACCCCAATTTTTCTCAGGAAATGTGACAATTCCTTAAATCTTGAGGGAAAAAAAATTGACCCCCTCCCCCCCGCCCTGGGCCCCTCCAAAATAAATTACATTTGAAGAAATTTTCTTTTTGTAAAATGTGGTATAATTTAAGAGACATCCATACACTTAAACAAAAGTTATTGTCTGAAAACTAGAAAAATGCTTGTTTTAGACCCTTTTTGGTCCCTAATTCCTGAACGGTTTAGGCAACTACTCCCAAAATGAATCCCAACCTTCTACTTGAGGTATTGAACCTTGTGGTACAATTTCAGAGCAATCAAAATACTTATACACAAGTTATTGTCCTGAAACTAGAGAAATGCTTGTTTTGGGCCCCTTTTTGGCCCCTAATTCCTAAACGGTTGGGACCATCACCCCCAAAAACAATCCCAACCTTCTTTTTGTGGTATTGAACCTTTTGCTTAAATTTCATAGAGATCCATACACTTAAACTAAAGTTATTGTCCAGAAACCAAATGTCTTCGGACGACGACGACGTGATAGCATTATACGAACGCAAATTTTTTGCGGTCGTATATAAATGAATTGTAAAAAAAAATGTTTATGTGCCTGTCAAAAGTCAGGAACCTCATCCGTGGTTGGCTTTTTGTCATATCTTCGTGTTTTTGTCTATTTTCAAATTGAGACAATTTAGAGGGAGACATAGTTTAGTGACACCAGTATGTTTCTTTTTAAAAGTTTTGTAGTTATTTGTGCTGTATGGTTGCCGTCTCATCCATGTACACCTCATAAAACTATGTTCTTTGGTAGTATGCTGCATCATCAGATTAAATAATGAATTATGTAAGCACCAATAAATTTTTTTCAAATTTCATATGACATGTATGAGCGTAAGTGCTGCATTGCATATCTGCAAATCTGTAATGCTACCACAAGTACAAAGGTCTTTTGTTTAAACTCAGCAAGGCAAAATGTTGTGATGATTGCATTGTTTTCATTTTTGTATATCACTTTTGTACATGCAGGATATGGTTGACTGAACATATCTGATCTTTTTTATATACATTATTAATATTATAAGTTTGTTTTTTGTTTGTTGTTTCAATAACATATCCTTTTTTACTGAAACAAATACCTTTGGTTCCTGTAGAAGCAAGATTTGTTGGTAATCAACTGATGCATCTATGGCTGATGATAATTCTGCAGCCCTAAAATAATTCAAGAAGCATTTGGATCGTAACAATTTTCTGTAACATTGTTATAAATATCATAACAAACAAGTTTGTTCTTGTATTTCTTACTTCGCCAAGTTGATTGGGCCCCTAGTCGATCCAACCCCATAATATATTAATGAATAAATAATTGATGTGCTAGCGTTTATTGTCTACAAAATGACCTAAACAACCTTTACAATAAAAAAAATCTTGTGTTGAGCCACTTAAGTCGAGTGATCCTAGATGGTGTACTTGAATAAGTCCATATTTATACTTGTTTTAACCAATATCTTTATTTATATACTTATTTTAAGGAAATCATTGCTAGCACTGCATGCAAAAACCTCTATCTATTAAGCACTGAATTGTCAAATATAGGAGTACAAGAGAAAAGGCTGTGAATTAAATTAAATTTCAGACCCAGCCAAACTTAAATTGTTTTAACAGGTCAGGAGGTCCAGTAACAAATATTTTTTACTGGACCTTCATTGCTGTTACAGGACCTACTTATTATCACCGGTGAGCAGCGCAAAGCGCTGCGAACTTGCTAGGGGGGTCTGGGGGTATGCCCCCCTCAGAAAATTTTTGAAAAATTAGATGCAAAATCCTGCATTCTGAGTGCTTTGACTATGATAAATGAAGAAACCAAAACTACTATCTCGTACTACACTTTTGCATGTTTATTCACATTGAATGAAACTTCATTTTTTAAGACTTTATTTAAATTTATTCCTCTTTGGCATAATCTAGTATTTTATTTGAGTTCATGGATTCATCCTGAGATTCATAGCTGAAATCATTTTCACACTCCTCATCTCCATACACAATGTTTATTAAATTAATGATTGTTTCTTCTTGGATGCTAATAGCAATATCTTCAGCTGTCTCAACTTTTTTTTGGCGTGTTGTACTTTGATCATCGGCCTTCCGTTTTTGACCAGGCACTGCCCCATCATAAAAACAGAGGAAACTCATGTTATTGTTTACAACATGTGTTTCCAGCACATGCGTAATGAACCGGGGAAAAAAGAAATGCCGGAAACTGATGCAACGGACATGACAATCGAGATACAAAATCTTCAAAATATTCAAATTGAAAGGGTTTAGGCAGTAGGAGACAAGCCAGTGAGCCTTAAAATCGTCGTATATTATGTTTTAAAAAAAAAGAAGTCACATTAGAAATGCCGATTTTCAGGGAATGCATAAAATAGTTGACAAGAAAATCTCGCCACGTGTCAATGGAAGTGTGATTTCATTGGCTGCTTTTTATATTATTGCATTCTGATTGGGTTACTATTTGTGTTGCCCATACATATCTATAAATATGACTAGGGTATTTCCGCGATCCTAATTAATATAAGGACAATTAATTGTTTTTTATTGGTGTCAGGAGGAAAACAATATTTTGTGTTTGATATAGCAACACATTTTTCCCAATTTTAATACTGCATGCTGCAAAAAATGTACAGGACAGGAGGTCCTGTAGTTCAAAGGATGGTGGCGGACCTTCAAGTTTTTTACAGGTCATGACCCGCGGTACGACGATGTTTGGGTTGTTCTGGATTTTTTTTATAAAATTTCCATATGATTAACATAGGAACAACAAAAGGGTACATTTGTAACAGTAAAGTCGGTGCGGTGGTAAAATTTGTCAGCCAGACTTTTTTCCAGAGGTAATCATGTCTTTGACAATAATTTAACGTTGTTTGTAAGTCCCAGGATAAATTTTCCTAGGAAAATAAGTGCCAGACATATTTTACTAACATTTGTAATTATGTACATAATAAAAGTCTGTGATATCTATTTTCCTAGGAAAAAAAGTCTGTTTATTAAAAAAATCACCCATATTTTAATAAAATAGTGAAATATTAGTGCATAACTGTTCAACAATTTAAATACATATAACAATTAAAATTTCCTTTGTTTACATGTAAATTATTTCTTTCATTACAAATTTTCCTGTAAAAATAAAGAAAATGGACGTATTTACCTGGGAAAATTAGTGACCTGGACATGAATTCATAAGAAAATTAGTCTTGGCTTATAAAATTTATTAAAAGATTAATGCACAACTGTTAAACAACAGTGTTCTCCCCAGAGCCTTTTAGCATCATGGTAATGTGATGCTATCTGAATTGATTTTCTTAAAAATTGTGTTATGGATGTGATGCTATCATTTTTACAAACTAGATGGTATTTAAAATTTCTATGTTTATCAGGAGAACACTGCAACATGAAATCATAAGAATTAAAAATTCCATTGTTTACATATAAACGATTTCTTTCATTACAAATATTCTTATTAAAATAAAGGACATGGACGTTTATATAACCTAGGAATATTTATGACATGGACACGAATTCCTAGGAAAATTAGTTTGGGGACATAAAATATTGACATCGGACTAAACTAGTAAATTCTGTAACTATGGACTTTTTTTATACTGGTGTTATTTGTCCGCATGGACACATTTTACCAGGACTAATTTATCTCTTAAAAATTATCCTGAATGTGGGCTGAATCCACATGAAAGCGAAAATTTCCAGAATAGAGTTAATAGGAAAGGGATTGAGAGACCTGCTTAATCAGAAACTCTGGAATCCGAATCCCTTAAGGGATTATGCAGCTTACAGGTAAAACAAACAAGTATCTATTGGTCAAAAACCAAACATGGTTTGCACACTTGGTAAAGAACAAAATATTAAAAGTATCCTGGAAATTTTGTTGCTCATGACATATTCTAATACACAGAAAGCTGCATGAAATTTTACCATTTAGCACTGTTAAGTAGTTTACGCCGTGAACATTCTTTGTTTGCCCTGATTAAATCAGTTTTGATTTGTATTAAATTTGGGAGTTCAAAAACCTGGCAAGTCGAAAAATCCGCCATCCCGGTACTTCTTGGGTCACAGTGTTCCGAAAGAATATTCTGGTTCCCTGTACTTTATCTGTTTGGCTCTAACACCCGTATGTTGCGAGTGAAAGAACCAGCCTAAAATTATTAAAAAGCAGGTCAGTCCCGGACAAAATCCGTTTTTGTTCTATTTTTTTAATTATAGTTTTCTTTAAGTAATTAAAAATAAAGGTTATTTTAAAGAGAGATACGCTTATCATCAGTTTTAACACTGTGATAGTTTCTGCTGAAACACAATTTTCTAGACTATGGACGATTTAGAACTTATATATACATGTATATTTAGTTGCCGTTTGCATTTGACTATTTGTTGAAGACTATATATATAATTACTCTAAATATCCGGCAGTACAACAATGTTAAATCTGCAAATTTGCGGAAACAAATTTTGTTCTTCCCACGCCGGGATACGAACTCATGCTACTAGGATATCGAGACAACACCACCTGCACTGTGTCCAGCGCTCTAGACCATTGGGCGGCGCCACCTAGACTGAGCTTAATAATTCAGCTTTCGGTGGCCTAGTGTTACCTTTCCTCGTCAGTAGAATCTAGAGTTGTATCACAGTACATGATATATTAAGCATGAAGATGGAATTGATTGCAGATAAATATCTATCGTAAAGGATCGTAAGATACAGTCACAGAAATAATCATTTTGATAAGTACGTCTAATTTAAACCGCAAGTGACAACTCTACGACAGATCCATCCATATATATTTATATATGTCCGCCTCAACTGTAGATTATTTTTTAGTTTATGCCCTTGGACTGCTGTTTCATTGGCGTAAACAGTAAGCTATATTCGTATATAATAATTTCTATTCAAATTTTAAACATTATCTATATATATATATATAGCTAATTATAAAAAGAATGATATGTGCAGAAAGCGATTCCAGAGATACAATCAATTAAAATTGTGTGAAAAAGTCTGTAATCATTCTACCTTATCATATAATCTATTATACACAAAAAGATGCATTGTTTCTATCGAAAAAAGGGGGGTAATGTTTTGACTAATTATTCGCATTACAATGTGCTACCAGAGACGTATAATACCATATGTCTCCGGTGCTACGTTTTCCTCTATGTGAAATTATGATTCCATTTATGTAACAAAAGACGAGCAATGAATATAATCGAAAGTGTAATTTGAACATTAATGATATCATTAATGAGAATTAGAGATTACTTTATAATATTATATGTCACATTGCACTATTGTTCCGATTGGAAATTTGTCTGAAGTTGTTGAAAGATTCAATTGATTCATTTGTAATATATTGTTAAAATAAATTCTGAATTATTCAGCTTGATTGGATCATGCATTGTTATTTCACAGAGAAATCAGAATTATATGAATTTAAGCACATAGTTACGAATGATATAAATAATGCAGCGAATGCAAAATAAAGTCGAAACACAGTACACGGTTAAAGCACATTTTTTTCAGTATTCAAAATGAAAACATCTACACCATGTACACGGGATCGTAAGTTTGAATGTCTGGGATTAGTTATCTGCATTCTTTGTGGATGTATTGAAGGTTGGTATCTTATTCTGTAATTCCTGTTTATGCATGCACAGTACAAAAAATCACTTAAAGTATATTTTAATGAAAGTTTGTTTTATAATTTAACATGTATTTCTTTGGAGCCTTGGTGGCCCAATGGTCTATCTGCACTGACCACTTCAGTGGTCGATTTCCATAATAGCATTAAACGCTTGCTCGAATTTACAAGTATGATGGCAAAATTGACAATATGCACTCAATCTAATGATACATTATAGAGTTATAAATAAAATAATGGTACACCCGAACCGTCACGGTTCAAATTCATCCACCATTGAAACTAACCGACATGACATCATAAGAATCTAATTATCCAATTTAATGATCTGTTCGCTGTTAGTGCTTTATAACCATTTAGGAATTATACATTATTATTATTTTTTGCAACAAGGTTAATGTACTAATGTATTAGTTATAGTTATAATGCAGAAATAACATATTTTGGAGGGGGAAAATCTTTGAAAGTTCTGAAATAGTTTTATATTGAATGATGTTTTTTTTGTAAAAGAGGAGGTATAAAGTACCAAGTGGATATTAAAAAAACATAAGTCGAAGAAAGACACACCAAACAATGGCAATAAAAAAACCCGATGAAAGACAACCAATACATAAAGCCATGTTTTGTTACTACAACCTGGGACATAACATAGTATAATAGTACCAGCTACAACGTATACATAGTATAATAGTACCAGCTACAACGTATACATAGTATAATAGTACCAGCTACAACGTATACATAGTATAATAGTCCCAGCTACAATGTATACATAGTATAATAGTACCAGCTACAACGTATACATAGTATAATAGTCCCAGCTACAACGTATACATAGTATAATAGTACCAGCTACAACGTATACATAGTATAATAGTCCCAGTTACAACGTATACATAGTATAATAGTACCAGCTACAACGTATACATAGTTTATCAAGATAAACATTACAAAAAAAAAACTATAAAGAAAGATCAACACGGGGTGAACTCCCCAAATCAGGGGACAGGGACGGGGATGCGGCTACAAACAGTGGAATATGTCCGTGATTATCTGTGACACAAATATTCCATAACTTTACAACTTAAGACCAGATTTATCATTAGTTATCAAAAAAGTTAAATCACCTAAATGTCTATATAAACTAAATTACTAATTTCATTCAGTATACAATCCAGTACAAAAGGATCATCGCTGAAATACATATAAACATAGAAAAAAAGAAATAATAATTTTGGCACCTACAACAAACAAAAGACAAAACACATACACCAATTATGTAATCATTGCCACTGATGAATTTTTATTATGGTACAGGTATCTATATATATTAGAAATCTGTCGAAAACATCAGTCTTAGTACAGTTCATTAGATAATTTAATTTATTAAATCTATAAAATTACAAAAACTAAGTATAATGTTAACAATGTCATCATAAAACTTTTCCCTATCGTCTTGATAAAGATTGCATGAAACTCATCTTCAATTTTGTTATTAATTTAATGTTTACATTTTCTTTGACCTAAAGATGTATTATCATATCTGCCTTTTTCGATGTCTGAATTATTGTTAGAAATTCTTAATTTACAAAATTGTCTTATATTTTGTTTCGAGACATTCAACTTTGCATAAGTCTCAGGTTTATATTCCTTTTTTAGCTTGTAATATGTACGTAATTTGTGTTGGTCTTCACCAGATAAACGTAAAAAGAAATATTTGTCATACCTTTCTTGTATGATCAATTTTTCACTGCAGATGTGAGTTTTTCTTTTGACAGTGTTCCCTTATAATTCAAGATATGGCCAAAACCAATGAATTTTAGACACTGAAAAATGTGTTTGTTAAAGGTACATGGATTTGATTTGATTTTAGGTGTTTAACGCCACTTTTAAGCACCGCTTTTGGACTATTTCGTGGCGGCCAGTTTTTATTGGTGGAGGAAGCCGGATAGCCCGGAGAAAACCACCGACCTTCGATATGAAAACTGACAATCCTAGTCAATTAATATTGCAGTCGAGTGCACCCGCACGAGCGGGGTTCGAACTCACAACCTCAGTGTTGACTGGCTAGTGATTACAGTAGTAACTACTTAGACCACTCGGCCACCGAGGCCCCTAAAGGTACATAGAAAGGTACAATCAACTTCTTCGATTGACGATCCGGGTAAACTTATTCTAAAAGGTTACCAATTCAATACTGTAATTAGATCTTTGAATATTGTTTTTATTGGTATTAATATGGATTTTGTTATCAGTAAATTTAAATCATATTAAATAGTTTTGTTATACACATATGCACTTTAAGGATGAACTTAGGTCAGGTTTAGGAATTTGTGACAGATGTTCGGATTCCTTGGTTTTTTTTTCTACGATGCAGTGTAAAATATTTTGCCCCATAACACCCATTTTCTTTTCATATAAGACTTCAATAGCTCATAAAAGTCATTTACCAAAATTTAAGCAGATCCTAGATTTCTTTTCTTTCGATTCGAGACCCAAATAATACCAATGCAAATATAAGGTAAAAGTCCGAGTCAGCCTTTTACCGCCATTTAAAAAAAAATAAATATCTTGAAAAAGAGCTCCATAACCTATCAATATTTTTAGCTTATTTATTTTTGTTCCTTACCTAATGCTCATGACTTATAGTATTGATTTTAAATTCTAGATTTCTAAATTTCACCTAAGTACATCCTAGTCTGTCGATACCTTTATTTTGGCATTGCACAAGGTCATGTTTTTCACTGACTGCATGTTAATGACGTTTTTACACTAAATCCATTGGATGTTGGGTGTGTACCGATTGGTATTTTAGTCTTAGATACATGATTTTTTTATCAGTTGTTATTGGCTTTGAACTAGCTGTCAGTAACTGCGAGTACTCTCAGATCTGTACTTAGTGTTCTCTTTGTTGTTAGGGAAGAGGGATGGATAAATATCCTGCCACGTATGTTTGATGTTTTTCTTCTTTGTATTGATCTGATGAGTTTAGCCTTTTTCAGCTGATTTTTATGGTTTGTTCTTGTGTTGTGCTGTTATACAACTGTCCAAGGTTAGGGGAGGGTTGAGCGCTCACAAACATATTTAACCCCGCCACATTCTTTATGTGCCTAGCTGTCCCAAGTCAGGAGCCTAGTTCAGTGGTTGTCGTTGGTACATGTCTGTCATATTTGTTTTTCGTTAATTGTTTTGTTATAAATGAGACCGTTAGTTTTCTCAATTGAATTGTTTCATATTTTTCATGTCGGGGCCTTTTATAGTCGACTGTACGGTATGGGATTTTCTCATTGTTGAAGGCCGTACGGTTGTCTATAATTGCTTACATCCACTTTATTTGAACTTTGGTGGATAGTTGTCTCATTGGCAATCATACCTCATCTCCTTATTTTTGTAATATATGCTAATTTTGAAAAAATCAAAAGTGGGACTTTTATTTAAATATAGCCAGTATTTAACAGACTGCAAAATGACAAGTATAGAAATCGGGTAGCGACCAAGTTCTGCCATACTGGCATTGTTAGAAGCATATTTAGTGGCACCAAGTACAAATTTACAATATCGGATGTGAACCGTTTTAGGTGCAAAATTAAACAATAAAACAAGTCTTTTCTAAATCATGGTTTTATATATTTACAGGAGTAAATGGAACCAAGAAAATAGCACATGGACGAAAGGTGGCCACTAGTGAAGTACTTCTAGGTATGGACGAACCAATCAAGTCATTTAGATACGTGTCCCGACCAACTGGCTGTGTTGCACATTGCATTGAATACCCCTCTGTGTGCAGGATGTTTCTGTACAATCCACTGCATGGTAAATGTGACATCATTGGGACTTATTACCTTATAAACAATACAAATGCATCTTTCAA